AGATTTTATTCAACATCAATAGGGGTGCATTGAGTAACATCTAGCAGCTGTGAGGATGTTAGGGCACATCTAAACCCTAAAACTATTCAAGAGCTGAGATTCGTTTTGGAGATTTTGCAGCTTTAAACAATTTACAATTTGTTAAAAGAGCTGTTAATGACTGGACTCCTGCGGCTGGAATAGTTGTTGAGGAATTGAAATGGGTAGCACTTGGTTTATGTTTATCAGACTACTGGGAAAATCTTTCGTATTGGTTACAAGACATCTGTGTTATCCCAAGAACAGGGAGATCAGAACAAACTATGTTTTTTTCTCCCCCACAGCAACCCACCATAACAGCGAAGTGTTTTTGGAAAATGTAATGCTTGATGTCAAAAACACAGTTGGGCAACCCCATTCCATTCAGTTGGGAAAGTCTGAACCCTCAGGACTGTTTTGTAAATTGCAATATAATTGTATGACTCTTTCTAAAAGCAAAGGTTATATCAGGATACTGTATGTTGGTTTTATTTAACAGATTTTCACTAGCAAAAGATAGTACTCTCTTTATGGCTAAAATACTGGCTCAAAACACACTTTACAGGTTAGGTATGTCAGGAAGCTTTAAGAAAATCATTGCCCAGAACAACTACAATCATCAGGCATGCTTGAAAGGGTTCATCATACTTTGAAATCCAATTGGTAAAATATGGAATGACAGGACTAACATGGGTAGATGCACTTCCATTAGTTCTGTGCATAATATCAGTTCATCAGCTGGTCAATCATCATGCAGGATCTTGCTTTGGACGATGTGCATTTAATGCCCTGGATAATATGTTCATGTCTAGAATTACATATTGATTTGTGGATATTCTCAAAGTTAATTACAGCTGCGTTCGGTATCAAAACACCAATAGCTTCAGTCCATCAAGAGGACTTTTTTTTTGGACTTTGTGTTGGGTAGATATCCATCAATAACTCATGATTACTTATGCACCCCCGAAAAATGTAGCAGATTATGTCTTCGAAACAATTTGACAAATCTGTTTCTGACTATTAGGAGGCCTTCAAAAATGGTCACTGGTAAAACGTCTACTGTAATATAATGACATTATTAACTTTTAATTTGCTGAAAATGTTATCACCCTCAGGCCATCCAAGATATAGATTAGTTTGTGTCTTCATGTGAACAGTTTTGGAGAAATGTAGCATTACATCACTTACTCACCAATGGATGCTCTGCAGTGAATGGGTGCCGTCAGAATGAGAGTCCAAACAGCTGATAAAAACATCACAATAATCCACAAGTAACCCACATCACTCCAGTTCATCAATTTATGTCTTGTGAAGGCAAAATGTGCATGTTTGTAATAAATAAATCCATTATTAACTTCAGACTTTGAAGTTTGAAGTTTCCAGCTAAAATACGAGTCCATAATAATCCATACTAGTGCTACAGTGAGAAAGTCATCTCATCTGAATCGGGAGAGAAATATGCACAGATCAAGCACCATTTATGAGCAAAAAGAGTCCAAAACAGTTCTAAACAAATATGTTGGTGGATTTTGATGTGAGAGGACAACAGGGGATGGACTTTTTCACTGGAGGAAGCGTTATTATGGATTATGGACTGGTATTGTAGACAGAAGTAATGGTTTAAATTGAAAACACCTTAATGATGCATTTGCTTATTACAAACTTGCAGCTTTTCGCTTCACAAGATGTTTTTGGAGTCACAGAGATGTGTGGATTACTTGTGGATTATTGTGATGTTTTTATCAGCTGTTTGGACTGATTCTGACGGCACCCATTCACTGCAGAGGATCCATTGCTGAGCATGTGATGTAATGTTACATTTCTCCAAATCTGTTCACATGAAGACACAAACTCATCTACATCTTGGATGGCCTGAGGGTGATTAAATCATGCAAATCAATGAAACAAATTTTCAAGTAGAAATAACTCAACACAACAGCACTTTTTAATTGTTTGCAGTGATTAAGAGACACTCACACTGACAGTGATTTGCAGTGACAAATCAACCTGTTGTTGGTGCTGGTGATTCGAGGCTACAAAAGCCAAAGCGACTTTTCGGACCCTTGATTGTTCAGCTATGTGACAAAGTCAAGCTCAACTTTATGCAAATGAACAGTCGGCCAAAGCAGCATTAAGTTTCAGCAACTGTCAGATTCAGCAGGGGAGTGTGTGCAAAATGATGTTAATAGCAACTGTGAGCAATTTTCCTCTTCTCAATGATTTTTCTCTGCCTACATACAGGGACATAAATCACAAAAATTATGTGTGGAAAATTGTCAAAACCTGTGGACATTCCAAGTGGGTTTGATTCATGGATTCATAATAATTCATCTTGTTTATGATATGATGCATAATCTACTGCAGCAATACATTTACAAATGCTTTTCTCATTTAGAATGTTATTTTTTTTCTGAAAGAAACTGATTAGTTGACAAAACAAAATTTTATTATTAACCAGCAAACTGAATATGCTGGTCAGATGTTTGATGGCTTTTACTAGTTGTGCAACTCACTAATAGAAATACTCAGTATGAATGAATTCAGGTAAAGGTTAACCTGGTGATAAAGAAAATTTGTGGAATAATATTCACCCGGGTTATCATAGTTAACTAAAACTAAAGCTAAAAGGAAAACCATTAAAACACCTTTTTGTTACTTAAACTGAAACTATATGTATGTATGTACAGTATGTATGTATATAACTATATGTATAACTATATATATATATATACACACACAACCTTTTATTACAGCTAGTTGCCAAGACGTTTCTCATTTTAATTTCTCATTTAATTTTAATTTAACTTGACATACTAAAAAAACTAAAACTAAAATAAAATGGATAAAACTATATATATATATATATATATATATCTACTAAAAATTACATAAACAAAATGACTAAAACTTTAACTAAAATTTAAATGAAAACTGAAAATATAAAATTAAAAACTGATTCAAAATATTAAAATATATAGTACAATAGTATATAGTATAGTATAATAATATATCAATGATTCAAAAATTACACTGTTCACTGCCACAGATTTTATTATTATTATTATTATTATTATTATTAAATCGTGGTTACAGTGCCATACAATGAAGGACAATGAAATGTGAAGCTTTTATTTTTGTTAAAGAATAAAAAAATGAAGGAATGATTGAAATAATTGTATTTTATGGTAATTATGGAATAATTTAAATAGAACTTAACTTGTATAAATTCCTTTAAGAAATGAAGATACAAGCATTCAGGACCATTGGGAAATCACAAACAATTAGCTCTAGACATTCAGAAGAGAGCTGGAATGAATAATCAGGAAACTGTGGAGAATCCACTTAGTGAAGTACAGAAAGAATTAAGCTCCCTTAATTTCTGCTCCACAGAGAAGCTAAAGAATTCCCACAGAACGAACAAGAGCTGTACTGATTATTGGCCCTCCACGGTCCTGAAAGCTACAAGGCCATGATTGCTTTCCCATTTCTCCAACAAATCCTCTCCAAAAGTGTCCCTCTGTGTGGGAACAACCTGCTCAGGCAAGATAGATCTGAAAACCTGAGTCCAGTCACATTTGAATGTCTCTGCGTAAGGGAAAAGCCATGTTCTCCCTGTGAATTGAGAGATATGTTATCCGCTGCAATGCAGGGAGGTTTCCAGCATGACCCTGGCTGGATTCCAGACAATCTACTGCTCGATTGATTTCATCTGCCTCTGAGCCGCATCTGAAGTGACCTGTTATTTTCACACTGATGGAGGTCAGAGTCACTGCAGTCTAACAGTGCAGATTCACTGACCTCCAATCAATCAGTAATCACGAGAGCGCAGCTGAGCTTACTGATGAGGACGAACAGTCACACAGTATTTGTCTGGGTATAGATTTTAAATATGTCTAATATATATATAATTTATATTTTTTATAAATATAAATGATTATTTATTATAAGTACTATTTCATATAATTTTAAACCTAAAATTAAATTGTAAATATTAATATAATATAACATGAGTTATTAACTCCTTGTTTTATTATTATTATATATTATTTTATCTATTTATTATTATTCATTAAAGAATTGTACTATTGTACTGTTGTATATACACACACACACACACACACACACACACACATATACATACATAAACACACACATACAAACATTTTTAAACTTTCTATATACATTTTTCTATTACTAATTTATTATTATTAGTCTATCATTAGTTATTATAAGTAATATTTCATATTTTAATATAATATAATATAAGCGTAATGATCCTGGTAATTGGCTTCATTTTCTTTTATATTTTAATATAATATAATATAATATAATAACATTTCATTTAACACAGCAGTTATTAACGTCTTGTTTATTAAATTCATGAAATTATTGGACTGTATAAAAGCTATATCAGACTTGCTATTAATATATTAAATACTCATTAATTTAATATATTTATTTTACATCTCTTTATTTATATATTTATTACAATATATTATATATTACATATATTTAACACCACTCACAAATGTATGCATATATCTCATTTATGCATGTAACTTATTAGAAATTAAAGTTGCCTCTATGCATTTGATTATTACTTAGTATATCACCATCAGCTTTTATTAATAAAACTTTAAAAAAGCATTTTAATATATTCATGAAGATAGGCATTTTAAGTTTGCTTGATCTATAAATTAAAGGAATTATTTATGCTGGTTTAAACTGGTTTCTGTCTATGTAGACTTTCTGATAGCGTGTCCACTTGATCAGTTTGAAGACCCACAGTTTGGACAAAACCCATAATGCATTGGGAAAGAGATCACTGGAAGGAACTTAAGACACCCCTTTGGTTCCTTTTTGTTTAACTGTGAATTTCTCAGTCTTAACCTCAGCCTTATCTGTTCCTTTGTGTGGGTACACACACTTCCGCACGCACACACACACACACACACACACACACACATATTAACGTCCCATACCTCGATGTGTTCTCCAAGGTTCCTTTGACTTCATTCATCTGATCCTTTCCAAAGTAAACCACGGTAAGGTGCACCCGGCCGTCCTGCTTCACACACACCTCTCTGTAGACATGCACATTGACAGAAACACAAACACACACACACACACACACACACACACACACTGAGGTCAGCACTCTCCAGCTGCAGCACTTCAAAAGAAACATTTGTGAACTATTTTTACTGTCTGAAAACTGAGAAAGAGAACAAATATAGTGCAAAATAGATATATTTTCCCTCTAGATTTCCATGACACGTTCTCATTAAAACCAATTCATTAACCATAACATTATTAATGTGATGCCAAATCAAAATAGTTTGCATTACTGCAACAAAAACTGCAAAGCATTGTGGGTAGAGTGGGCATCATAAAAATGCAGGGTAGCATAATTATGACCATTATAAATCCCAGAATGCATTTTAATGAGCTCAGTGGAAAAAAAATAAAAGCAAGATGTAACAGAGCTATTGAGTCCTGGCCTTGAGAGAAGAATGTACTGATGAAGACACTGTGGCAGATTTTGACAGGACAAGATCACCCTACTACGCGTCACTGCGAGCGTAACACAAAGACTGTAGCTCGAGTGTGACATTCCTGATCTGAAGCAGCTGCATTCTGATAGAAATGTGGCAAATGTTTCGAGCTGATGCTGAACAAGATGGGTGTTTTTTCATGTCCAACGCACAATAAAGGCACGGCTGGTTAGACTTCAGAGACACTTCAGTTCTAAAGCGCCTGAGTGACATGGTGAATTTTGCTGGTTAGTGGCAGCTTAGCGGCAGTCGTGGACAGTAACGAAGTAGTTTTACTTCGTTACTGTACTTAAGTACATTTTTCAAGTATCTGTACTTTACTGGAGTAGTTTTATTTTGAGTAACTTTTACTTTTACTTCACTACATTCCAAAGCATAAGATCGTACTTTTTACTTCACTACATTCACTACATTCACTTTTTACTTCACTACATTTCATAAAACTTATCGTTACTCCTTATAATATATCACGTGCTCCGAATCATGTCTGATTCATGAACGAACGGCTTCTTTTC